GGATTCTTGGCAGTGTGGAGGAACAGAGGGATCTTGGGGTCCACATCCATAGATCCCTGAAACTTGCCACCCAAGTTGACAGGGTTGTAAAGAAGGTGTATGGTGTGTTGGCTTTCATTGGCAGGGGAATTGAGTTTAAGAGCCACGAGGTTATGCTGCAGCTCTATAAAACCATGGTTAGACCACACTAGCAATATTGTGTTCATTTCTGGTCGCCTCATTATAGGAAGTATATGGAAGCTTTAGAGAGGGTGCAGAGGAGATTTACCAGGATACTGCCTGGACTGGAGGGCAGGTCTTACGAAGAAAGGTTGAGGCAGCTTGGCCTTTTCTCAAAGGAGTGAAGAAGGATGAGAGGTGACTTGATAGAGATGTATAATATGATGAGAGGCATAGATAGAGTGGATAGCCAGAGACTTTTTCCCAGGGCAGAAATGACTATTACGAGGGGGCATAATTTTAAGGTGATTAGAGGAAGGTATAGGGGAGATGTCAGAGGTAGGTTCTTTACACAGAGAATGGTGGGTGCGTGGAATGCGCTGCCAGCGGTGGTAATGGAGTCAGATACATTAGGGACATTTAAACGACTCTTGGATAGGCACATGGATGATAGTAAAATGTAGGGTATGCAGGACAGTTTGATCTTCAAGCAAGACAATAGGTTGGCACAACATCGTGGGCCAAAGGGCCTGTAGTGTGCTGCACTGTTCTATGTTCTGTGTTCTTAATCAATTTGTAGAAGGTACACTTTGTGAACTGTCTATCCCTCCTCCTTACTGTCCGTGTCATTCTCCACATCCCCTTGCCATCTGACACACTTACTCTTTCTTCGTCTTTACAGTGATAACACTCTCACATGTTCATGTGACGTAACCAATTCTACTTCCTGTGATCAAGATTCTCTACCAGTTCAGTCACCATACTAACACTCTTAATATGGGACAGTGAATCTCAGTTTCAGACATTCACCTTACAAAGTGTGATGTATGACGTTGTAAAGATTGTCTCTTTGTTTTTTCTGTAGTTTTACTTGAAGATTGAAATGGGAAAATAACTTTGAAAAACCAAGGATTGTTGAGGATTGATTCACTTTATAAAGCAAGTAACCTGACACTCAAATGTTTACAGAGCTACTTGTTCAAGCAGTCGGGAAAGCCCAGTTTGAATGAGTTTGTGTGAATGGAGCTTTGGCTGGCAATAAGTACATGATTGGTCTATGGACTAGTGGAAAAGGTTTTCTGCTGGCTAACAACTATGTGTTTGGCACATAGGTATCTGAACAGCTTGTGGGTGTGAATGTTCTGGCAGCAACCATCAGACCACTGAAGGAAAAAGAATTGCTTTTGTTCTGAAGTATGGGGAGGTGATGGCCTAGTGGTATTATCTCTGGACTGTTAATCTCGAGACCCAGATAATGTTCTGGGGACCTGGGTTCAAATCCTGCCACGGCAGATGGTGGAATTTGAATTCAATAAAAATCTGGAATTACGAATCTAATGATGACTGTGAATCCATTGTCGATTGTCGGAAAAATCCATCTGGTTCACTAATGTCCTTTAGGGAAGGAAACTGCCATCTTTACCTGGTCTGGCCTACATGTGACACCAGACCCACAGCAATGTGTCTGACTCTCAATTGCCCTCTGGGAATGGGCAATAAATGCTGCCTAACCAGCGACACCCTCATCCTGTGAATGAATAAAGGGAAAAAAAAGCATCTGAAGCCTGAAGATTGCCAATTTATTTCCCTTTTCCAGTTGCTGTAAACTGTGACTTTTAATAAGTAAGTCAAAGGCATTTATAACTGGGAATCAGTCACTTTGTGCCTTTTGCAAATGACTATAAGTATCTGGAGAGGAAAGATAAAGAAGCAGCATTCTGATCAGCACAAGAATCATCTCAGCAAACCCTGTGGACAACAACCAGTGAACAATCTTCCCAGTCTTTCTCTCTGCCCGTTGCGCCATGTTTTATTTCCTGTCTGTATGTGTATATGACGGAATTAGGGTTTAACAAGTAAAGTTATACGTCAGCAATTAATGATTATTTAACTGTAGCTAGAATCTATTTGTTTGTAATAAATAGTCATTCTTGTTAAGCACAGAAACCATGCTTTGTGCCAATCTAGGTCTGAAAATCTTTAATTTTGTGATGATTCTGGGAATAGCAGGGCTTAATTCCAGTGCACTGTCACAGTGAGGCACAACAGTGTATGATTAATGTATATTTTCATGCTCTTTATCTTGAAGGTTGGCTTTTGAACTAGTAGTTTGTGGGTTTTACTCAATGTCTATGAAGGCATTGAATAATTAACTTGTCAATATTTCAAGAGCTGAGCTTTATTTTAAAAGACTGGTTTGAGAGAAAGATTTCCCAGAGTTTTACAAATAGACAAAGTAACCATTGAAGAGCATTAGTTTGCAGTTAGAAGTGTCTAGAATTTTCTGTTTTACTTCGAGGAAACACCCATAGCTTGGAAAGCCTTTTGGGTTCAGTTCACACAAGTTGTAATGAAAATGAGATGTATACAACAGTTTCTCCTGCAGAAAGAGATAGTTCAGAACTTTTGGCAAGTAGGTTACTTCATTGTAAAGAGGTTAGTATGAATGTTGCAGATCAGAAGTGTTTGGTAGAACCCTGAATGAGATATTCAAAGCCTTTAGGTCTATGCTCAGCATGTGAATACTCCAAGAAGAGGCTATCAAACTCTCAAGACCAGAAATTGAAAGAAAGATTCAAGTTAAACCACTGAAATTGGTGGTATAGAGGACAGTGAAGAAGGTTATTTTATAATGCAATGGGACCTTGATTAGATGGGCCAATGGCAAAGGAGTGGCAGATGAAGATCTTAATTTAGGTAAACGTGAAGTGTTGCATTTTAGTAAGGCAGATCAGGACAGGACTTATACACTTAATGATACGTTCGTGGGGAGTGTTGCTGAACAAAGGGACCTTGAAATGCAAGTTCATAGTTCCTTGAAGGTGGAATTACAGGTAGACAGAATAGTGAAGGAGGTGTTTGGTATGCTTGCCATTATTGGTCAGTGCATTGATTAAAGGAGTTGGGTGGCCATGTTGCAGCTGTACAGGACAGTGGTTAGGCCCCTTTTGGAATACCGCAACCAATTCTAGTCTTCCTGCTATAGGAAAGATATTGTTAAACTACGAAAAAGATTTACAAAGATGTTGCCGCGGTTAGAGGGTTTGAGCTAAAGTGAGAGGCTGAAAAGGTTGAGGCTATTTTCCCTAGAGCACCGGACGCTGAGGGGAAACCTTTGAGATTTTATCAATCATGAGGAGCATGGATAGTGTGAATAGCCAAGGTCTTTTTCCCATTGTAGGGAGCAGCTTTTTCATGCAAAGGGTGGTAAGTGTATGGAATGAGCTGCCAGGGGAAGTGTGGAGGCTGATACAATTAAAACATATGATAGTAATCTGGATAGGTCCCTGAATAGGAAGGGTTTAGAGGGATATGGGCCAAATGCTGGCAATTGGGACTAGCTTAATTTAGGATATCTGGTCAGCAAGGACAAGTTGGACCGAAGGTTCTGTTTCCGTGCTGCACAGTCTATGACTCTACAACTCTAGATGTGATAGGGAAGTGAACTCTCTCACTGATATTTGAGTAGCATGTTTGTTATGTTCTATCCTAACTTTTGTGTAATAAACTTCTGTTTTATTATTAAAGTAACAATTATGACACACAAATGCCAGGCAATGATCGTCTCAAGTAAGAGACAATCTAACCACCTCCTCTTGAAATTCAATGGCATACTGTCACTGAATCTTCACCATCAACAACCCAACAGTAGGGTTACCCACTGACTAGCAACTGAACTAGGCCAGCCCTAAAGTACAGTGGCTCCAAGAGCAGGATAGAGGCTGGAAATACTGCAACATGTAACTCACCTCTTGACTCCCCAAAGCCTGTCAGCTATCTACGAGACAGAAGTCAGGAGTTTGATGGTTTACTCCCCTTTTGCCTGGATGGGCACAGCTGCAATAATACGCAAGAAGCTCAACATCATCCAGGAAAAAAAAGCCTTCCTTTTTTTCTTAAAAAGAGCATTATAAGCAGAAAATTAATGTTGGAATTTTTTTAATACCACTAAGGCGAGGCAATGATTTGATTTGATTTAATTTATTTATTTTCAATTGTCTTTTGTTACAAAATATAGTGACAAGTGTTGTATGGTGTTGCCATTTTCTGTCCATTTAAAGTTTTTGAAAAGATAGCTCGGGTTGTGGATGAGGTTGCATGCATGCTTGCTGAGCTGGTGGGTTTGGATGCAGATGTTTTGTCACTCTGCTAGGTAACATTGTCAGTGCGCCTCCGGTGAAGTGCCGGTGTTCTGTCCCATTTGTTATTTATATGCCTCAGTTTGCTGGGGTGGTTGGCATCACTTCCGGTTCTGTTTCTCAGTGGTTTGTACACAGGGTCTAATTCCATGTGTTTGTTGATGGAGTTTCGGTTGGAATACCAGGCCTCCAGGAATTCCCTGGCATGTCTCTGTCTGGCTTGTGCGATTATGGATGAGTTGTCCCAATAGAATTTGTGTCCCTCGTTGTCCATGTGTAGTGAGACAAGTAGAACTGGTCGTGTCTCTTGGTAGCTAATTGGTGTTCGTGTGTCCATATTGTCAGTTTTCGTCCAACAACACCCTAAGATAGCTACGGACAAACGTAAAGGATCCCATACCCAAAACCAGCAAAACAGGTGTAATGTATAGAATACCATGCAAGGACTGTGAGAAACACTACATAGGCCAAACCAGAAGAAAACTGACAATATGGATACACAACAACAGAGGCGCACTGACGATGTTACCTAGCAGGGTGATGAAACGTTTGCATCCAAACCCACCGGCTCAGTGAGCATGTCCACAACCTCATTCTCTGGCCGTCTTGAAACACAAAAAAAAACTAAAACTTAGAATATAAAGGCAGAAAAATAAAGAACTAAAGTTCAACTTTACAGTCCTTCCTGTTTTATGTTCAAAGTAAAAGAGTCACCACTCTCTGGCGCCATCTCATCTCCCACCGATGCTGCTGCCACCATGAATCCTTGCCGGATGTCATTAATGCCCCCGGATTCTGCACTGGCTTGAACTCAACACCACTGCTGCTGCCAAGGGTCCTCTCTGGGCCCACCTCGCTGATGCTGCTCATGCCATCAGGTCTCAAACTCACACCCGCTGCCGCCTCCATGAATTTGCGCTGGACACAGACACCACCAACAACCCAAACACACCTCTACTGCAGCGCTGGGTCCACCTTGTCAATGCAGAAGCCACCAGGAACCCAAACTCCAATGCCTCCACCACGAGTCCACACAGGGCTCACTTCACAGCCACCGATGCCATCATGGCTGATGCCTTTACCATGACCGAGCTCTTCACAAAAGGTAATTAAAAAGAAGGAAAAAAAGGAGAAAAAAGAGCAAAGAGGAAAAAAAGAAAAGAAAAGCAGATGTGCCCCGGGCTCAGGAGCACTACTGCAACACCATCTTGCGTCGTAGTTTTGCAGTGAGCTAGTGGTATTATCATTAGACTGTTAATCCTGAAACTCAGTTAATGTTCTGGAGACCTGGTTTTGAATCCTGCCATGGCAGATTCTGGAAGTTGAATACAATAAAAATCTGGAATTGAGAGTCTCATGATAATGATGTTGATTGTTGGGAAAAACCTATCTGGTTCACTAATGTTTCAGGAAGGAAACTGCTATCTTTACCTGGTCTGGCCTACTTATTTTTATTCATTCACAGGACGATGGCATCACTGGCTAGGCAGCATTTATTGCCCATCCCTAATTGCCCAGAGGGCAGTTTAAGAGTCGACCACATTGCTGTGGGTCTGGAGTCACATGTAAACCAGACCAGATAACAATGGCAGTTTCCTTCAGTAAATGATATTAGTAAACAAGATGGGTTATTCCAACAATCAACAGTGGATTCTGGTCATCATTAAACTCTCAATTCCAGAGATTTATTGAATTCAGTCTCCACCATCTGTCAGGGTGGGATTCAAACAAGATCCCCAGGACATTACCTAGGTCCCTGGATTATTAGTCCAGCGATAATACTATGAGGCCATCACCTCCTACATGATGATATGATTGATTCTTAACTTCCCTCTGTGCAATTAGGGATGGGCAATGAATGCTGGCCTGGCCAGCGACACCCACATCGCATGAATGAATGAAGAAAAGGGCAAGGATATTAAATGAACAAATTAAATAAGATACCACAGTGATGGCAGAATGGGTGATGTTGCTACTGCAGCATGTGGTTGCTGCTGAACACCAAGTTGATCCAGAGTAAACACATCTGGAGTAGAAGAATTTAGGTTCGGAGTTGAGGATCTGGAGCCCAAGCTGCAGATATTGTCCCATTTCAGGGAAGGGGAAAGTTACCTTGAAACTTTGTTCCAGATGGCTGTCATATCCCTCAAATTAGATGATTAATGTTAAGTCTCTGATCATTTATTCCACTGTAACTAATGGAGAGCCAGATCAGTGCTGGGCATGATTATTTACATTATATTAATGACTTTTTTTATAACTGTAGTTTTGAATGTGGACTGAAATGGGAAAAGGACTGTTTTAATAACCAAAGATTGTGGCAAGGATTACTGCACTTTTGGAGTTACCTGAACTTCATTGTAAATTCTGTTTTGCCAGTGCCTTGAACAATACTAAGCGGTCTACCTCTTTTATCAATCTGTGTAGCAGTTTAGTACAACTGAGTGGCTCTTTCGGCCATTTCAGAAGGCAGTTAAAAGTTAACCATGATTCTGTGGGTCTGGAGTCACATGTAGGCCAGACCAGGTAAGGATGGAGGATTTTTTTTCCCTAAGGACATTAGTGAACAGGATGCGTTTTAATCAACGGTAGTTCATGGTCACCATGAGATCAAATTTTTATTCCAGATTTATTAATTGAATTCAAACTTCACTAATTGTCAAGGACAGAAAAGAATCCATGTCCCCAGAACATAAAATAAAAGTAAAGTACTGCAGATGCTGGAGTGTGGAAATAAAAACTGGAAGTTTGTCAGCATCTGTGGAGACAGAAACAAAGTTAACATTTCCGGTCAAGCATGACTCTTCTTCAGAACATGAATGATGAAGAATGCCTGAGTTCTGAAGAACATTAATTCTGCTTCTCTCACCTGAGACTTGCTAAATTTCTCCAGCATATTTTGTTCTTAGCTCCAAGAAAATTCACCTGGGGTTCTGGATTACTACTCAGTGACATTACATCTCTACCCCCTCCGCCCTTTAGATTGTTTTGTGACAATGCAAGATTTATTAAGGACAAGAAAACCCAAGCTTCTAATAAGTACCGTGACTTAATGGGTTAGTGCTTGTAAATCAAGCCACACTATTTCCAGAATTCTCACAAATGTGAAAAGATTTATCCAAAGTTCCCAACTTACCTGCCTGAAAAATTTGCCTTAAAGGAAAACATTCACCCTGTTTGTGTACTTAGAAAAAGAGAATTCCTACAGTGTGGAAAGAGGCCATTCAGCCCATTGAGTCAGCACCAACCCTTTGAAGGGCATCCTACCCCATGGCTAATCCACCTAGCCTGTATATCCCACGACACTTAACAGGGCAATTTAGCATTGGCAATCCACCTAACCTGCACATCTGTGGACAATGGGGGGAAACCAGAGCACCCAAAGGAAGCCCACACAGACACAGGGAGGACACGCAAACTCCAAACAGACAGTTGCCCGAGGCTGGAATTGAACCCGGATCTCTGGTGCTATGAGCCACCGTGCTAACCCCAAAAAATAGCAATTTGGAAATATGAATTGCTAAATTATTACTCCACAATTTAAACTCTATTCCTTTTTAAATACCCCCTTCACAAACAGACATGCATACAAAGGCAGTTAAGACATGGATATTCAGGTTGGGAAAATATCAGGGAGACCCAGTTCATCAGCAGCATACTGGATCAGAGCATTTGATGAACTGCTTCCTTTTTCTTTTTTTCAGTTCTTTTTAAGTTCTTTGGTGTTTGCACAAAATTGTTTGCGCACCAAAGCTCTTTCATTCACTGATTGAGAATTCATCTCTAATGGGATTTGAAGACAGCTAGCTTTTACTGGATAACACAGTGTGGAACTGGAAGAACACAGCAGGCCAGGCAGCATCAGAGGAGCAGGAAAGCTGACATTTCGGATCGGGACCCTTCTTCAGAAAGGTTCTTCATTTAACTTTAATTTGGTGTCATTTTTGGCACAACATCATGGCCGAAGGGCCCGTTGCTGAGCTGTACAGTTCTATGATCTACAGAAAAGGCCCTTCAGCCCATCGAGTCTGCACCAAACTAATTCCACTTTCCAATACTTGCCCTGTAGCCTTGAATATTTTGACATTTCATGCTCATCTTCAGGCTGTGAGGTTTCCTGCCTCTACTACTGTCCCAGGCAGTACATTCCAGGTTCCTATCACCCTCTCAATCAAAAAAAAGTATTTTCTCAAATGCTTTCTAAACCTCCAGATGTTCAATTTAAAATTATTCATTATTGAGCCTTCAACTATGGGGAGCTGCTGCTCTCTGTCCACACTAAACGTGCCCTTCATAATCTTATACATCTCTGTCAGGCTCCCCTTAGCCTTCTCTACTCTAAAGAAAATAGCCTGAGCCTATCCAACCTATCTTCATTGCAAAAATGCTCCATTCCAAATAACATCCTGGTAAATTTCCTCTGCAGCCCCTCTAGTGCAATCACATCCATCCGATAGTGTGGTGACCAGAATTGCACACTGTACTCCACTCAAAGTTTTGTATAGCTCCATCAAAATCTTTTGCTCTTATAACCTGAGCCACAACTGATAACGGGCAGGTATCCCATGTTCCTTCTTTAGAACATAAGACATAGGAGCAGAAATTAGGCCAACTACCCTGTTAACCTGTTCTACTGTCTTTAGGGATCTGTGGACAAGCACCATTGTAAGCCTAAATGTCCCTTCTCCCAACCTACCTCTCCCCCACCCCACTAATTTAAAGCCGTAGTGATTTAATTCACTAGCAAGCCGATCCCAGCATGGTTCAAGTCAAAAACTGAGTTCTGAGGAAGGGTCACCGGACCCGAAATGTTAACTCTGTTTTCTCCTTCACAGATGCTGCCAGACCTGCTGAGCTTTTCCAGCAACTTTGTTTTTGTTCCTGATTTACAGCATCCGCAGTTCTTTCAGTTTTTATGGTTCAAGTCATGCCCATCCCATCAGAACAGTTCCCTTCTATCTGTTACTGGTGCCAGGGTCCCACAAACTGAAACCCATTCCACATAGACCAATCTTTGATCTGTGCATGATGACAAACCAACATATCCAAAGATGTACAGATTAGCTGGATTGGCCTGGCTAAATTGTCCCATATTGTGCAGGGGCGTGCAGTTTAACTGGATTAGCCAAGGGAAATGCAGGGTTGCAGGAATAGGGTGCAGGGTGGGATGCTCTTCGGAGGGCTGTTGTGAACTCAATTGGCTAAATGCCTGCTTCCACACTGGAAGGATTCTATACTGCTCCTATATCCATGGAATTCATGAATCATCCTTGTGAAGCACCAATGATGGGTGAGATTGTGAATTTACTTTAAGTCGATTATTAAAATATTGTAATGTTTTACTGTGTCAATAAACTATTTACAGATAAATGAAAATTGTCAAATGCTATTAGAGAGAATATTTGCCATCAGCTTGGCAAAGTTTCCCAATGGTTCTGAGCCTGACAGAGTTGACCCTCCCTCTTGTGCTTTCTCCAACAGACTCTCACATTACTCAGCCTTCCCCATCTCCTCTTACCCTCACACAGACACTCCATCTCTTTCACAGCAACCCTCCCAAAACTCCACCCCCCCAGCCAATAGCCCCGCCCAGCCATCAGCCCTGCCCCACACGGCGCCGCCCAGCCATCAGCCCTGCCCCCACATGGCCCCGCCCGGTCATCCACACGACCCCGCTGTGCCATCAGCCCGCCCCCACACGACCCCGGCCCGCCATCAGCCCCGCCCCCTCACACGGTCCCGCCCCGCTATCAGCCCCGCCCCCTCACGGCTCCGCCCTTCCATCAGCCCCGCCCCCTCACGGCTCCGCCCTTCCATCAGCCCCGACCCCCATTCAGGCCATTCCCAAAAATCACAGATCAGAAGATTATGGTCCAACGGATGTGTTTGAAGACACAAGCTTTCGGCATCAGGCTGACACCTGAAGAAGGAGCGTATTTTCCGAAAGCTTATGTTTTTAAATAAACCTACCGGACTATAACCTGGTATTGCGTGATTTCTGACCTTGTCCAACCCAGTCCAGCAATAATCCCGCTTGTTAGCCCCGCCCCTCTCCTCTTTGTTGCAGCGTCTGACGTAAGGCTGCGTGCTGACGCCAGCTGGTGAGGGCGGTGCATGGAGACGTGTCCATGGTGGGGGGCAGTAGCGCCTTTGTGGATCCGTTGCCGGAGCTGGAGCGTCAGAGGCGGGGGGGCGGGTGTCCGGGTGTCCGGTGATGGATGTCACGGTGGTGGCCGGATTTCTGCTCCTGTTGGCAGTGGTGGCACTGCTGGTGGTGAGTGTGTGCCACCCGGTCTATTTTCCGGTACTAGTGCTGGGCCTGTGCCTGGCCGTGCAAGCGCTCAGATACCCGCCCGTGCCGCCCGAGGTCGCTCAGCAGGTGCTTCGTCCCAATGGCCGCCTCTCGGTGGTCGCCCATCGGGGAGGCGGCTATGATGCCCCGGAGAACACCCTGGGGGCTATCAGGAAGGTGAGTGTCCCGTTGCCGTCCTGTCTGTCCTTTCCTCATCGCCCTCCAGGCTTCCTATCTTCAAACTCCCAACCCTCCCTTTGAAGCCCTCCACCCTATTCCTCTTCCACAATCCCTTCCAAAACAGCCCCTCCCCTCCCTGCGCAAATTTCCCCTCCCTCCACCCACCAACCCTGGCCAAAACTCACCAACCCTCCACCCCCACAAAATGCAAACTTCAAAGAATTATGTACCTGAACCCCCGTGTCCCTCTTTTCTACCCAACACCCTACCACTAATTGTATGTCTGCCTGTGTTTGTTGTACCAAAATGCAGTACTTCGTATTTATCCAAACTGAACTCCATCTACCATCTTTCCATCCATTGACCCATGTGATCAAGATTCCTTTGTAGCCTTAGAAAACCTTCTTCATTGTCTACTATGCTGTCAGCAAACTTACCAGTCCTGTCTTCTACATTCTCATACAAATCATTTACATGACAAACAAAAGAGAACCCAGCACCAAGTTCTGTGAAACTAGCCTCCTCTCTGAAGAGTAACCCTCTATCACTACTCTGTCAGCTGCTGTTGAACTAATCATGTATCCAGGTGGCAAGGTCATCTTGAATCTCAATGTGACCTAACTTTACCAATATGGACCTGCACACTCAGATCCATCTGTATGTTAATATTGCCATTTACAGTATAATTCATACTTAAATTTGATCCTCCAAAATGTATCACCTTCCATTTGCCTGGATTAAACTCCATTTGTCATTTCTGTGCCCAAGTCGCCAATCTGTCTATATCCTTTTGTATCCTTTCACAGTTGTCGGCAGTATCAGCAACAGAGGACCCAACACCACTGGTTACTGGTTTCCATTCTGAAAAAGCCCTTCCACCACTATCCTCTGTCTTCTATGACCAAGCCAGTTTTGTATCCATCTAGCCAGCCCACCCTAAATCTCAGATAACAAGGTGTAGAGCTGGATGAACACAGCAAGCCAAGCAGCATTAGAGGAGCAGGAAGGCTGACGTTTTGGGTCTAGAACCCACCCCAAATCCCATGTGATTTTAGATTTTGTACCAATCTGCCATGTGGGACTTTATCAAATGCCTTAAAGTCCCAATAACCTACATCCACAACTCTTCCTCATCAATTATGTTTGTCACCTGTTCAAAAAAAATTCAATCAGGCTGGTGAGATGTGACCTTCCCCCCCCCCCGACAAAACCATGCTATCACTAACTAGTCCATTTTCTTCCAAATGTGCATATATCTTGTCCCTCTAAGACCTTCCCCACCACAGGCGTCAGACTCACTGGCCTATAATTTCCGGGATTATCCCTGCTGCCTTCCTTAAACAAGGAAAAAATATTGCCTAATCTCCAGTCCTCTGGAACCTCGCCTGTGGTCAAAGAGGATGTGTAGATATCTGCTAATGGCCCAGCCATTTCTTCCCTTGCCTCTTGCACTAACCTGCGATAGATCCCATCTGCCCCTGGAGAGCTGTCTACCTTAATGCAATTTAGGATACCCAAAGCTTCCTCCTTCAATATATTGACATTCTTTAAGGTTCTTGTGAAGATTTGTAGCTTGGGTTGTGGATGAGGTTGTTGGCATGCTCATTGAGCTGGCTGGTTATCGTACAGACGTTTCGTCACCGTGCCAGGTAACATGATCAGTGCGGCCTCTGATGAAGCGATGTTGTTCTACTCTGCTTGGAATTTATATGATCCAGTCCGTAAGTTGGGTTATGTCATTTCCAATTTGCTTTGCATGGATTTGTATATGGAATCTAATTCCACATGTTTGTTGATTGCATTATGGGTTGAAAACCAGGCCTCTAGGAATTCCTGTGCACGTCTGTGGTTGGCTTGAGCTAAGATGGACCAGATCATATAAATGCCATACTAACGTCTGTACGATAACCAACCAGCTCGGTCAGCATGCCAACAACTTCATCCACAACCCGAGCTACAAATCTTCACAAGCACCTTTAAAGAATGTCACCCAACCTGAAACATTAACTCTGATTTCTCTCCACACATGCTACCAGACCTACTGAGTCTGTAGTAGCAATTTCTATTTTTGTACCCCATTATTACAACCTTATTGTGCTTACATACGATCTCCCTACATATGTTTCTCAATTTCTCTCTGACTGTTGAGGTGGGGCTGTAGTACAATCCCATCGAGGTGATACTTATTTCTAACATCAACCCATATATTTTCAGAACTTTTTTCAAAGATTCAGAAATTTTTTGGAAATATATTACTGCTGTAACTACAGAAGATTTGGCATAAAAATTTTGGTAGATGTGTTCAACTTGTCAGTCACACATCAGTTACTTCAGTTGCTTGGTGGCTAGTCTTTCCTTGCTTACGTAAACATTGAAAGGCAGTGGATGGAGAATCTTTGAATATTTTTAAAACAGTGGAAGATAGTTTCTTATAAAATCGTGCAGTGTGGAAACAGACCCTTCAGTCTACCCCATCCGTGCTGACCAGACATCCCAATCTGACCTAGTCCTATTTACCAGCATTTGGCCCATATCTCTCTAAACTCTTCCTATCTATATACCCATCCAGATGGCTATTAAATATAGCAATTATATCCGCCTCTACCACTTTCTTTGGCAGCTCATTCTATACGTGCACCACCCTCCGCATGAAAAAGTTACCTCTTAGATCCTTTGCAAATCTTTGCCCTCTCACCTTAAAACCGTAGGAAAAAGATCATGGCTAGTCACCTTATCTTGGTAAACAATAGATTAAGTGGCTACCAGGGGTTGACAGGAATGTGCATTTCAGGTTACAATTGGGTCAACCATGATCTTAACAAATGGCAGAATTGGATTGAAGGGCTGAATGTCCTGCTGCTGCTCCTTGTTCTTGTGTATCTTTCAGTGATGCTAATAATTGTTACAGAACTGAGAAGAAGTCTGGGTAGTACCTCTATTGATCTATTTTAAAGAAATATTTAAGGATCTTGAGCCTCCAAAATGTTTCAGCTTGAAACCATTTTGATTACTCTGACTTTCAAGATTTACTGCTTTCTTACTCAGGAAAGCTTTTTTAAAGTTTTGTGGTTTAACCAATACCCAACATCGCAGAGTTGCATTTCTAATCAGATCCAATGTAAAAAGGCACCCAACAATTCTTTCCTGCAAGGAAAGAGTGTCCCACAGGTTGGCTTACAGCACAACAAAAAAATTGGTACACAAATAAAATTAACAGGTTCTTTTGACTTTTAAATTTTATGTAATCAGTGAAGTTTCTGGTAGGAACCTTCTGAATCTCCTTGTCTTCAGCAGGTCCTTACATGTAGTAATAATCTGCATTTATATAGCACTTTCAATATAGCTAAAACATCCCAAGGCCTTGGGGACAGAAAATGGCACCTAGCCAAAGGAGGAGACAGTCAGACAGATCTTTTAATGTGTGGTAACTGAAAACTTGATGAGTAATAGAATTTTAAAAAATGTCTTGAGAGACGCCATCTTCAGTGGATTGCTTGGTAGAAACTTGAGAGTATTTTGTTACAACACCTTAATTATCCTACAACTGTAGGAGAAAATCCATGTCGGTTGTTAAAACTGGCACTGAGTGTGATGTGGGTTTTCAGTTAGTTCACAGCCATGCAGCTCTGGAAAATCTCAGATCAGCCTTGGCCTGTGTGGATTTAGTTGATCCTAACTAATGCAGCAGTATTATTCTTTGATGACCTTGGATACTGAAGGGAAAAGTTGCCAGAACAAGACGGCAACCAGTACTGGATATGTTTGTGCAGTTGGTGAGCAAGGAAGACGATTGGGTTTAATTATGTAACTCCTTGTTAGTTAACAACAAGAATATCAACTTCTATTTATGTTCTTTAATTTACACAAAGCCCCAAGATATGTTATGGATTATGGAGTTGTAATCAGAGAAAATGTACACTGAGCCAGAGCAAAGGCGATAGAAAGATTGGCCATGAGATGGATTTAAATAAAATAAAAAAAGTTTCTACAGTTCCATTTAAAATATTTTTGGGTAAGTTACTAGAATGTTTAGTCTATACTCAAGTCACTGCATTATATCCTCTGTTCTATCAAGGGAATAATCAATATTATCGAGTTTTTTCATGACAGTCTAAGTTAAATCAGCATTATGTAGTGCCAGCATTACAGTGAGGTGTTCTATCAAGCTACAGTGCACGTATATAAGCTGATGAATCCTTTGAGACGTCCTGTTCTCGCTCCTCATTTAGGCTGCTGAAAATAACGCTACTGGTGTGGAGCTGGATCTCGAGTTTACTTCAGATGGTTTCCCTATTCTGATGCACGATCGTACCGTGGACCGCACAACTGATGGTATCGGTTCTCTTGATCACTTAACTTTCGAAGATGTCCGAAAACTTAACCCGGCAGCCAAGCACAGACTGCAGTATGTAATCAGAATGTATCCCATGCTGATTAGAGTAGTAAAAGAACCTTTTCAAATTTATTGCCATGGAATCTCAAATTGATGAGAATTAGACTACATTCTTTCAGTGTATTATTATTTCAGAAGTGTTGCAGCCGGCTATGCTTTGAAAACTGCACTGCATTTTCTGCAGCCTGATCAATTCCTTCTTTTGGGTTTTAACTGTATTCTTTGCAGTACCTTTGAATTGTAATACCTTGGAGAACTACAGTAGGGTATGTGGTTATCAATATTTTTTCTGGACTCATTCAGTCGCAGTCTGATAACGATGTGGTTGATTGCAATACAATCAGTATCTGCTTTGCAATGGCTCCATTATCTTATAGGTCCAAAGGTATCTTCTCACTTTCCAGATAAGGGCTGTGTGAGAACATCTCAATAAGGCTTTCATTCACCTAATGGGTTTGACATTGTGTGCAGCATAGTTCGGTGAAATTTAAATATGCCTTAAGTGCCATCCAGGATCCTTTGAGCATTCTGGGAACCTCCGAAGACTGACTTAAGAGCACTGTGCTACAGCTGAGTCGCAACACATTTAAAATGTGGTTAACAGATAAAACTGTCTCAATCTACTCATTGCATTACAAACACATCCAGAAATAAGATTTTACATTCTTGGAAGAAACCTTTCAACATATGGTAGAGCCTAATTTCTGTGTCTCTGTTTCTTGCCTCTTCCATGGTTGTCTTATGTGAAAATGTATAATACTTGTATTCCAGTTTGCTGCTCAGCTGTATGGCTAACTATAAAGTGCTGTACGAGTAGACCAGATGATTGGTCAGTGAGTAACAGCAGAGATTTTTATTTCTGATTAATTTTTAAACCAGATAATTTAAAAACCCAAAGAACTGCGGATGCTGTAAAGCAGAAATTGCTGGAAAAGCTCAGCAGGTCTAGCAGCATCTGTGGAGGGAAATCAGAGTTAACGTTTTGAGTCTGAGGAATGGTCACTCGACCCGAAATGTTAACTCTGATTTCTCTCCACAGGTGCTCCCAGATCTGCTGAGCTTTTCCAACAATTTCTGTTTTTGCTTCTGATTTAGAAATAACCTTGATATTCATCAATTAATTTTAACTGTTTTTCGTTGTTTCTTGTTCGTACATTCATTGTTCAGTTGTGCAGGAAACTACAATCATACAATGTTTAAAACTCATTGTAAATATTTATGCTGTTTTCATAAACACTTTCATTTTAAAACAATGTAATTTGTTTTTTAACTTTTACAATTCAGTTTTTTGTAATTGAACTTAATTAATTTCAATATTTATTTCTTAAACCTTCAGTATCTAATATGATTTGCATTTCTGTTCTATGTAGCAAATATTTTCCAAATGAGAAAGTCCCAACCTTGGAGGAAGCTATTGTTGAAAGTCTCAAAGGCAACATGACCATTTACTTTGACGTCAAAGGTCATGCAGCGCAGGTACAACATATTTTTTGATTCATGTAACATACAAACAAGGTTTTGAGTGAACAATCCGTTTGAATCTGAGAGGAGCAATGTCAGTTTGATTTAAGATGATGTTGTCCTTGTTAATGCCAATATTAAGCATATTCTGGAGCACCACAAAGTAAATAAGTCTTAACTGAATATGTTTTTGAGTGGATATTGATGGAGTAATTTAAAAGACCACTATTTTTGTGCAGAACTGCTTTGAGGAATATTTTTCCTTGAACTGTTATGTAACACGGGTGTGACATGCAATTCTCATATTCACGTGTATAATTTTAAAAAAATGAATTATTCTCTTTGAGTTTCGTGTGACATTGACACTTTCTGTTAAATGCATTTCACTTCACCCAAATCTTCTGAAACATTCAATCAACATTTCTTCCACTTTTCTCTTCAAGGTCATCTCTTAGATATCTTATTTTTATTTATTCACGGACTTTGGATATTGCATGAACCACTGCAGTCTCTTTGTTTCCATCTCTACTCAACAAGTGCTCCTGGTTTCTGCATCAATTATACCACAACCTTCCATTGCATTTGCTTGACTGGCCAATTCCATATGATTGTATTTGTGTCATTCCAGTCACGGCGAAGCAAAAATTCTTAAGAATAATATCAGAACTGATATATCTGGTTATACCTGGGAAAGGCTCAGAGAGGAGTGCTGAAAGTGACCTAATAGAGATCTGTAGATTACGAAAGAATTATTGGAGTAAATAGAAGGAAATGATTTATTTATGGAAAAGTCCAAAACTAAAGGTTATTTATAGAAGGCAGTCATGATTAAATCCAGTGAGAAATTTTTGAGACACCGCATTATCCCAAGGATACGGTACTCCATACTATAAGGAGTTGTTCAGGTGATACCTTAGTCACATTTAAGCTGATGACAAGCACACGGAAGAGTGAGAGAGAAATAGAGGAAGATGTGGATCAGTTTTAGTGAAGATGGCTGATGTGAACTTAAGTGCCAACAAAGTCTATTTGAAGGGGATGGCAAATTGCTATGCTCATCTGCAGGCTTCCCATCTTTTGCACCTTCATATCCAGAATTTCCATTATTGATCTCTCTCTCTCCATCTTTCTAGCTTTTGTGTTGTACCTCAGTGAAATAATTGATGTGTTAGCTTCTGTAAGCAGTGTTGAAGAGGTTCAGCTGCAACTTGCTACTACTTTTGTGAATCTTGTGAATGCTTGTCTGGCATCAAATTAAGAATGACTCATAGATTTCTCAAACTGAACAGCAAGTAGCTCAAAATTAAAAACAGGAAGTGTCAAATCCAATATGACTCTTTTTCAAAACTGAAGTGCAAAACATTGGATTTTATACTGTTGAGAAAGATGGAGAGGAGCAAGTGGAACAGGGAGATCCTAGAACAAAAAGCAGAGAGATGGTAATGATTGTAGAGGAGGCTTGAGGCCTTTTGTGACGATGGACACCATGGCGGCTGTAAGGTATCATCAGTTTGAATAATGATATTTTGATTTAGTGGTGTAAGTTTGTGTATGTTCTCGGTTTTGTGCCCAGCAAAGCGCTGTTTTATTTTACTTACATTTTTTGTTTTGTATTTATTTTGGACCCCTTGGAAGAGCCAAAGAGGGCTTTTATTTAAACCCCATACTGTCCCTATCTCTGGTGTGCTTGATGGGGTCGGTAAGAAGGAATTTTATATTTGGTTAAAATGAGTAGAAAGGCACTTTCCTCTGGATTTTGAAACCTTTGTTGTCCCTGTGCTGGGAGCATTCGATGGGATGGAGCAGAGGATTTTTAAGTTTCCTTTGCATTTGAACGAACCAGGGAATATTTATTTTACAATTAACCCCTTGCTTGGAGGGGGCGGAGTCAAGAGGGAGTCTTTTTTTTTTGTTTATTCATTGATTTTCGATTGTCCAGATTTGAAGATATGTTCTTTTTGAGAGTCGAGGAAATCTTTCCTTCTCGTTAGATAGGGTAGAGGAAACTTTACTCTGTATTTTACCAGTGCTGTCCCCACCCCAGGAGTTGTCTAATGGGGCTAATGTCGGTGAGGTTGGGGGGTACAGGGGTTCACATTTTTATTTCTGTCCTGTGTTTAAAAGAGCAGAGGAGGCTAGAGCATAGATCCAGAGTGAATGTTAATAGCAGAACAAAAGTCAGCTTCAACTGAAAACCGAAAGATGAAAACAAGATGTGGTCTCTGGGGAGAATACTTAGTGTGTCAGAGAACAGATTACATGTTCTGAAGATATTAAACTCAATGTTGAGTCCAGAAGGATATAAAGTTGCTTAAAGAGAAAATGAGGTGCTGTTCCTCCAGTTGTATTAGGATTTACTGGAATATTGCAGCAGGCCGAGAACAGAAATGTGAGCATGAGAGAAAGATCGTTTGTTGAAATTGCAAGTGACTGTTAAGTTGGCGTAGTTCTTGTGGACAGAGCTGTTCACAAGGTAGCCATCGAATCTATGTTTGGCCTCCCTGAGTGGAGGAGGCTGCATTGCAAGCAAAGAATATCAAAAATTAGATGGGAAGCAGCTGTGGCAGGAAGATCTCCAGAGGAGATGAGGTCATTGACAGTTCTTGAAATAATGGCTTTATGTTCAGTTGTGGAGTCATGGTCAGGGGAAATGGAAAGAAATGTCAGAGTTGGCACTCATCCTCCATGAGCTAAGAACATAGAAGTCCTTCTTGGGCCGTTCAGTGCACGAACCAGATTATTAAAAACCCTTTTTGACCCTACGCTGGAATATAAACTAGATTTTATCTCTAAGCCATATTTCTCATATTTTCAATTTTAACATCCCTACATTAGTACCTTTTGCTTTTTTTAAATTCAGTTGTGGGACATGGGTGTCGCTGGTTGGGCCGGCATTTGTTGCTGCCTTGAGCTGTTACAGTCCATGTGCTGTAGGTAGATCCAAAAGGGCATTACCGAGAGAATTCCAGGATTTTGGTTTTTCCAACATAGTGAGTGGCTTGGAAAGGTAACTTGTAGGTGGTTGTGTTCCCATGTATCTGCTGCCCTTGTCCTTCGAGATGGAAGTGTTCATGGGTTTGGAAGATGCTGCCAAAGGATTTTGACGAATTTTTGCAGTGCGTCGTATAGATAGAGAGGGCTTTCAATTTTGTGCTATCATATTGTCATTTCTACATTCTCCAATGTCTTTCCTGTCAACTTTCATCTTGGATCGTCCCTTTAATCCCAATTTATCCGGAATGGAGCACTTGTAATCTATCCTGCACTAAATCCTTACTCACTGACCTGAGTACTCTTATTACATTTAAAATTATTGATCTCCTAAAACTCTCCAATGATCTTACCCCCATCTCATGTCTGCAACATACTGCAGTTTTGCATCTCATTCTGCAGTCGTCTTTCAAATCTGACCTTCTGTAGATTACAGTTTCGTTTCATGGTGATCAATGTTTTGGTTACAGTGGGCCTCACCTCTGGATCTCTGTCCCTAATTTTTGTGTTTCAGTTTCTCTTTCCCACTTGGAATGCAATTGTGATGAGAATTGAGAAGTTTCCTTTTTTTAAATTAGATGTGTAGATATTCAAAGTGGCTATTAATGGGGCTGACATGTGCAATGACAGAACATGGCCAAATTAATATAATGGCTTGTTCTAGACTCTGAGCAATGCTGACTTGTAAGATCACCAGTATACTGACATCAACGATAATAGTGCACATCCAGAGTATATTTCTCAACTATTGCAAAATGTCAATGATTTGCACATTCTGATATCTTAATCCCAGTGATTTTTCTATGTCTTTTCAGTTCCTGGTTTCTTTTGGATTGTTTTACGTGGATCTACTGTAAATAAAAACATATCTATTGGCTGTTGATTAATCAGATGTTTATTGACCAATGCTATACACAAATTGGCTGCTGTAGTTGCTTACCAACAGCAGCTCTATTTTAAAAGTATTTCATTATCAAGGCCATCCTTTGGAGGACGCAGAATAGATTTACGGGAAAGGTACTAGGAATGTGGTCCTTCAATTATGTGGAAAGTTTAGAGAAGCTGGGGAGTATGGAAGGTTAAGGGAAGATTTAAGAGAGCAAATGATGAAAAAAGGAGAAACAGTTTCCAGAAGAAGCTGAGTTAAAGTAATTGCTAAAAGACCCAAAGGCAAGCTGAGGAGACATTTACTACAACAGGTTATAATCTGGAATGTACTGTGTGAAAGAGCTCTGCAAGTACTTGTGTCAAATTTCAGTGGATAATTGAATTGATATTTGCAAGCCAATAAAAGTGCACAACTTTGGAAAAGGGCCTGTTTGGACAATTTTTTCACAAAGCCAACACGGCTGTAATTAACCAAATGGTGTCATTTTTATTTTTTGTTATTCTATGATTTGGAATATAGAAGTAGGAGTAGGTCAGTTCATCCCTGGAATCTGTTTTGCTATTCAGTGTGTTTGATCATAGGCTGATCCAAACCCAACTGTATCCACCAGCCTTGGCTCCAGAACCTTTAATTTTCTTGTCCAGCAAAAAAAATCCTTCTTGATTACGTTACCTGAAATGACAGTTTAAATATGAAAATGCTGTACTTCTCTTCTGTGTGTGAAGAAGTATTTCTAATGTTTTCTAGAACTTCACTTTAGAATGCTCTTATTTGAGCTCTTGCTTTCAGCTCCTCAGTTGAAAAAATGCAGCACAGGAGACTGCGAAATAAGATATGAGCCCAACATGTTAGTAACAAAGTAGGTGGCATGAATAGAAGACTGGCTGACTGGCAGGAGGCAGAGAGTAGGCATATAGGATTCTTTTTCAGGATGGCCGCTGATGTCTGTGGAGGTCCACAGAGCTCAGTTTTGTAACTGCAACTATTCAAGCTATAAATTAACAACCTGCACAAAAGAACTGAGGGCATTGTTGATAAGTTTGCAGATGATACAAAGATAGGTGGGGGGACAAGTAATGTTGAGGAGGAGGGGAGACTGCAGAAGGACTTGGGCAGACCATGAGAGTAGGCAAAGTAGCTGGAATACAATGTGGTTATGCTCTTTAGTAGGAATAATAGTGGTATTGAATACAGACATGTTTTAAACCCTGTTTCTTTTGACTTTCAAAGTTGCTGATTACATCACTAATGTTTTATCTCCCCTTTTTCTGATATGAATCTGAACCATCCTAAGCCTATACTTGGGTCCCCATCCCCGTAAAACCTCATCAAAGGAACTAGCAAAAGCCCCCATGAGGGAATTTGTCCCAGCTCTGCCCATCGGGCTTGTACAGGTCCCACCTTTCCAGAAATGGTCCCAGTGTGTCAAGAATCTAAACCCTTTTCTGCTACATGATTTCTGATCTATCATTCATCTAATCTATCCTCTTATTCCTGATCTCACTAGCATGTAGCAATAGGAGTAATCCTGAGTTTACTATGTTTGACGTCCTGCATTTTCATTTCCTGTATTCAGCTTTCAGGTCCTCATCACTTTGTTTACCTATGCTATTAGCGTCTATATGTTCCACAACCACTGGCTGTTCACCCTCCTGCTCCAGAATGTCGTCAATATCCTGAAAGTGCTCCGTGACATCCCTGACCCTAATGTCACTGGGGAGGCAACACACTGTCGTGGATTATTCTATCATGGATTCATGTCTGTGTCTACAGAATTACCTGACTGTGCGCCTTACTATTGAATCCCTTATCACTTTGGTGTGCTGCTCATTTCCCCACCTCTTCTGTGCAGCAAAACCACCCATGGTTCCATGAATCTAACTAATGTTGCTTTCCCCTGAGAGGCCATTCCTCCCACAAAAGTATCCAAAATGGTATCTGTTTGATGGGTGGATGGCCAAAGGGGACGCCTGCACTTCCATAGTGAGCCTTTTACTTTGTCTTATGGTGACCCATTCCATTTCTGCACGTTGCTAAACATGCTATCCATGACATTCTCAGCTTTGCAGCGAGTCCACCCACAACTCTAACTCCAAAAAGCGGTGAGCCAATAACTGCAACTAGACATACTACTTGCACACCGGAAGCATGTCTTATTTCCCACTTTGTGCAAGAGGAGGACATCATGGGTCTGAGGTCTCCTGTGATGACATCTCTCTAGATTAAGCTAGTTACTCCCTTTAGGAGAATTTATTTAAGCTAGGGACCTTCTTTCGTTTCAAACACATATTATAATCGAAAATCCACTTGTAGGAAAGACTAAGACCCCAAGAGCCTCAGCCTCGGAGTAAAGGGATGACCTTTTAGAACTGAGATGGGAAGGAATTTCTTCAGCCAGAGCGTGGTGAACCTGTAGAACTCATTGACACGGAGGCTGAATTGTTCAGTGTATTTAAGACAGACATAGATTCTTGACTAGTAAGGGGATCAAGGGTTATGAGGAGAAGGCAGAAAAATGAGCTTGAGGAACACATCAACCATCGTCAAATGGTGGAGCAGATTCAGTGGGTCAAGTAGCCTAATTATACTCCTATATCCGAGACAACAAGGTGCAGAGCTGGGTGAACACAGCAGGCCAAGCAGCATCGTAGGAGCAGAAAGGCTGACGTTTCGGGCCTAGACCCTTCATCAGAAATGGGGGAGGGGAAGGGGGTTCCGAAATAAATAGGGAGAGAATGGGAGGCGGATAGAAGATGGATAGAGGAGAGGATAGGTGGAGAGGAAACAAACAGGTCGAAGAGGCGGGGGTGGAGCCAGTAAAGGTGAGTGTAGGTGGGGAGTTAGGGAGGGGATAGGTCAGTCCTGGGAGGATGGACAGGTCAAGGGGGCGGGATGAGGTTAGTAGGTAGGAGATGGGGGTGCGGCTTGAGGTGGGAGGAGGGGATAGGTGGGAGGAAGAACAGGTTAGGGAGGCGGGCACGAGCTGGACTGGTTTTGGGATGCGGTAGGGGGAGGGGAGATTTTGAAGCTTGTGAAATCCACATTGATACTATTGGGCTGCAGGGTATATCCTATGGTTTTTTGGAAAAGGTTAATCTCTCTCTATTCAGTGTGTTCCTTTGAAAGTTCTGACTGCCCCTTAATTTTTCGTATTGCTGGAAATGCAAGCATAGTTGCTGTAATCTCTTCTCCTTATCTAACAGTGGGAGCCTTAGTAATGTTTTGGTAAATCTGCACCTAAACTGCCCGTGGTATTCCAAATGTAGTCTAAACAGGGCTTGGGAATAGTTGTGATGATATTTTCCACTATTCGTGCTGTAACATTTTAAAACTCTGAAACAGCTTTTTATGGGGTTTTATTTGTTCTCGACAGATTTGTCTACATAAACCCCTACATCTGTCTCAGTCTTCACTGTTTGTAGTTTTTCTTCATGTAAATAAGTGTGATTATGAAATTCTAAGGAATGTTCTGAGATGCGAAAAATGTGAAAAGTTCTGTATTAATGAAAGTTCAATTGTTTTTTTTCTCAGTCCATCCTTACAACCAAACTTTCTGACACCCATCCTAATCTCTTCCTCTAGGGTTCGACATTCAACCCCTTACCTATTCTTATAGCTCTCATCTCCAAAGCACCTTGGGACATTTTGTGTTAAAGGCGATATAAGGATTTGGCTTAAGCACTGAAGACGAGGGAAGAAAGCTTCAAATGGATACAGGAAGTTCTGTTTCTCAGACGTTGTGAAATGTTTTGTTCTGTCGTCAGTCCTGATCAAGTTATGTCCTACAGTTGCAGTTCATGGACAATCAGGCACAAAAATGGAATGATCACACAGACATATATAACACACACATAGGTGGCTACTTTTTTTTTTTGTTGATCACTTGTGGGATGTGGGGATTGCTGGCTGGGCCAACATTTATTGACTATCCCTAGTTGCCTTTGACAATGTGTGGTGGTGAGCTGTATTCTTGAGTTGCTGCAGTCCATGTGTGGTAGGTAGACCCACGATGCTGTTAGGGAAGAAATTCCAGGATTTCTGACCCAGCAACACTAAAAGTACACTGATATATTTCCAAGTCAGGATGGTGAGCGGCTTGGAGGGGAACTTGCAGGTCATGGTGTATCTAATGTATCTGCTGCTGCTGTTTTCTTGGATGGTATTGGTCATGGGATTGGAAAATGCTTTGGGTGGTAAAGGAAATGGATGTTTGTTGATGTGCCAATCAAGCGGGCTGCTTTGTCCTGGATGGTGTCTGCCTTCAGGATGGGTGCAGCTCCACTAAACCAGGCAAGTGGGGAGTATTCTATCACACTCCTGAATTATGCCTTGTAGATTGTGGACGGTCTTTCGGGAGTCAGGTGAGTTACTTGCAGGATTCCTAGCCTTTGACCTACTCTTGTAGCCACTGTATTTATATAGCTGATCCAGTTCAGTTTCTAGTCAATCGTAAGCACCCCTCACCAACCCCCAACCTCAGTAAGTTGATAATGGGCTTTCAGTGATGTTAACACCACTGAATGTTGAGGGTTCATGGTGCGATTATCTCTTATTGGAGATGGTCACTGTGTGGTGCAAATGTTATTGGCACGTTTCAGCCCAAACCTGGAAATCGTCCAGGTCTTGCTGCATTTGAACATAGACTGCTTCAGTATCTGAAGAGTTGTGAATGGTTCTCTACATCCCCACTTCTGAATTTACAATAGAGGGAAGGTCATTGATGAAACATCTGAGGATGGTTGGGCCTAGAACACTGCCCTGACGAACTCCTGCAGAGATGTCCTGAAGCTGAGATGACTGACATCCAACAACCATGGCCATCTTCCAACGTGCCAGGTACGACTCCAACCAGTGGAGAGTTTCTCACCTGATTCCCATTGATTTAAGTTTTGCAAGGGCTCCTTAATGCTGTTCTCAGTCAAATGCAGCCTTGATGACAGACATAAATTACATCATTTATCGTTAGTGTTGTCTTAGTTGTATTTAAGCTTTGGTTAAAAAATGTGTATATATGTATGGCATGCATTTTAGATTTTAACCGGTTTGTTTTTCAGGCTTCTGCAGCCCTGAAAAAGATGTATCAGGAATATCCTGAACTGTACACCAAAAGCATTGTGTGTTCTTTTGATCCACTGGTCATTTTCAAGGTATTAAAACGCTTTAAACTCCATCAAAGGCACATAGTTTTTGTTCTGTAATTCTGCTTGGAAATTGTATAAGTATTAAGGAAAATTTTATGAAATATGTTAGAATACAATTGCTATTTGGTTGTTCGGTGATTTTGTATGCAAGATAAAACAAAATGTTTAATTTTATATTTATTTCATTCATGTGCCATTGAAGATGAAACAAGTTGACAAGAATGTAGCAACTGCTCTCACACATCGACCTTGGAGGCTAAGTTTCTATGGGAATGGTAAACCAAAATTTCACGACTATAGACAATACTGGTACATGTTGCTGGATATCATTTTGGACTGGTCCCTTCACGCTTTTTTGTGGAAATTCTTTGGTATTTCTGCATTTTTAATGCAGAAAAATTTCATATCAATGTAAGTATTAAAAATCTTACTCTGGTTCTTAAAAATTGTTCAGTGGTTCATTGAGTTTGAGTACCATTCATTATCTCTAGAGATTCTGAATTCAAGTTCAGTCATAATGGAATTAAAATCTCTTTAATTACTAATGCTATGTGACCCAATATGCAATAAATTGGGCATAAATTTTTATTTGATTCTTAAAATATCAAGCCAGCCTTAATTCAGGAAAAATAAGTGTTAAATTGGTTATTTGGTTTTAGGAACGGCTAAGTAGGTGATGGAAAATTTGAAGAGGTGGAAAAGAAGTCTCTTCTGAAGTTGGGAAGAAGTGACATTGTTGGAGCAGAGTGAGAGGAGCTTTACTTTGGCTGTGCTACTTGTCTTATGAAAACCTGATCCTGGCACTTTGAGCCAGAAAGAAAGCGGGGGGAAGATTTTTGGACAGGAAACTGAGAGGTATGGGTTTGCCAGAGGTAACTCCTGTTCCTACTGGCCTGAAGTCATTTCAGTAAAGGTATCTAATCTTGGGGATCTGTTTCTTTTTTCCTTCCTTTACCTGTTGGATTCTCAAGGCAGACTTTGAGTTTGAAAATAAAAAAAGGTGTAAAAATGAAGGCAGCTTTCTTAAGGAAGAACTTACCTGTTGAGAACAGTTTCATTGCCTGCTAACTTCTATTTCAAATTGGAAGTGGGTAACCGTCCCCAACTTTCTTATGGGGAGAGGTAAATATTGCTCAATGATCCCAGCTGTCTTATTATTCACTGCAATTCCCTTCTGTTATGAGTCGTGCCTGTCACTCAGACTCCTAAACAGCACAGAATAATGCCAGTCATTTCTGCTGTGGTAACCAATATCTGACTGCACTAATCCTATTTTCCATCTCTTTGTCCATAGCTCAGGAAGCCATGGCAATGCAAGTGAATTCTAAATACTAGTTAAATGCTTTGAGATTTTTTTTGACTCAACCGCCATTTCAGGAAGTGAGTTCCAGACTCCCACCATCCTTTGCGGGGGCCATTCCCCTCAATTCCCCAAAGCTTTCTACCACCTAGCTTAAATCTATGCTTTCTGATTATTGACCCTTTTACTAATTGAAAAGTGCCTTCCTATTCAGCCAATTTGTGCCTCTCAATCTTATACACCTCCATCAGGTCCATCTCAACCTTTGATTCTCCAAGGAAAATACTCCCACCTTAACCATTGTTTCCTGATAGCTCAGACCTTCCAGTCCAGGCAGCACGAGGCTGAATTTCATCTACCACCTTAAGGGGAGATGGTGGCTTAATAGGAATGTGACTGGGTCCGTAATCCAGAGCCAAGGCTAATACTAATGGGTTCACATCTCATCTTGAAGGATGGTGACATTTGAATTTAATTTTCAGAAACTGAAATTATAAAGCTAGCCTAATGTTGATCATGTAACCACTTTTTTGATTGTCACAAAAAACTCATCTGGTTCCCTAATGACCTTGGGAAATTAAATCTGCTACCTTATTCAGTCCTCTTATATGTAACTCCAGACCAACAGCAATATATTTGACTCTTAACTGCCCATGGGTTAATTAGGGATGGGCTTTGGACTGAATGAAAAACACTGATTAGACACTTGAGTAATCTGCTTCTTACATTTCAGTGCAAACACCTTTACTTGTTAGCCATCTCAGTAAAGAAGATCATCAGCTTGGACACTATCTGTTAGAGCTTTGGCTTTAGGTGGGAAGAATCCTTATGCGATGGCCGAGTGGTATCAACACTGGACTGTTAATTGAGAGATCCAGATAATGTTCTGGCGAAATAAAAACCAAAAGAACTGCAGATGCTGTAAATCAGGAACAAAAGCAAAGTTGCTGGAAAAGCTCAGCAGGTCTGGCAGCATCTGTGGAGGAGAAAACAGTTAACGTTTTGGGTCCAGTGACCCTTCCTCAGAAACTGGCAACCCAGATTCAAATTCCCGCCACAGCAGATGTTGGAATTTGAATCCAATAAATATCTGGAATTAAGAGTCTAATGATGACCATGAATGCATTGTCGATTGTTGGAAAAACCCATCTGGTTCTCTAATATCCTTTAGGGAAGGAAACTGCCATCCCTATCTGGTCTGGCTTACATGTGACTCCAGACCCACAGCAACATGGTTGACTCTCAACTGCCCTCTGGGCAGTTAGAGATGGGCAATAAATGCTGCCCAGCCAGCGATGCCCTAATCCTGTGAATATTTTTTTAAAAAGTCAATCTCCAGAACAAGGAATCAGTGACCAGTTACCAGCAGTGTTTTAATTATTGTACTTGCAAATTGGATTACTAAATCTGTTGCAGGGTTGATCCTGTTCAAATATTCTGTAACAACTGTGTCAACTTCCAAGTTAATCTGAGTCTAAAGACACCTCATTTACTTTCCTCTGGTCATTTAACAAGTGATAAATGTAGGTTTGTACTTAGGAGAATAACAAAATCTCCTAATGGTACCTTAGCAGTGCATCTTATCTCAAATGAGGAATAATATTTCATCTTGCTCTTGAATGCTACTTATACCAGCATGAAGTTACAGAGCTTTAGTAACTTCTGCTTATTTGTGCAACTGAATTCTGACTAGAGAGACTGTAGAGTCTACAGCCTGATCTTCCAGGTAAAGCTGTTTTATTAGTTGCATAATGGACATAACCTGCACAGCAATGGATGTACCTATTCTGGTCTAGCTCACAGTCTGATAGCTAGCCAAATGTGTTAAATGACCAGGCTTTCCTGGCTTGATAGTTCTTGGTAGGGAGAACTAACTGGACACTTTGGAGAGCAAATGTGACCTGCAAGGGTGATGTTTCCATCATTGAAGAAAAATAAGGAAAAATTAATTGGCTGTCAGTCAAATCAGCAGCATTTGAAAATGTTGGTGCATCCACTATGAAAAATGGACATAACTGTCCCTTTATCTTACAAGCAAAGCTCGTAGCTTTTGTCCTGAGCCATGTGAAGATGTGCCACTCTTTGTAATGTACTGAATGGATAGGCCTAACACTTCACATTTAATCAGAGAGAGTTTTGTGCAGGTTAGATCTGGGAGGTGCATCTCAACTAGCTTTTGGCCATGTATCCATATTGGCTATAATGCTGATGGATCCTTCACCTTGGTTTGGTCATTTTTTTGGGGGCAAGGATTCCTCTGATCTGAGTTCTAAGGGGAAGTGTAGCCTGAAAATCCTTATCCAGTCCCATGACTGCCATGTATTTGGTCAATTACCCAGTGTCACCTTCTCAATTAGATTATTTTCCTGGCTGAAAAATATGAAATGATGTAAGATAGTGAGGAGTGAGTGATCCAAGGGGCAATGGAGGAGATTTTAGAAGAGAAACGTGGGATGTGGTCTTGTACCATGGATTCAACTGCTTTGGATTCCAGTCTTCATTGTCAATACCCGGCTCATCGTCATCTACATGGAAGCAATTTGTTCCCACTAACACTCTGCTGTTTATCATTGTCTTGTGCCTGTTTGCTGTGTGAGAATGAGGGTATACTGAGGAAGAGGTACCACAACTCAAGATGTATTAAATCGATAATTATAGTTGAGGAAGCTGCTGGCTGTCTGTGATGTAATGTTGATCTGTAAAATAGTACAAACTGAAGATTAACCTACAGAATGTCCTACCTCACCGCTTTACTGTGCCACCTTCAAAAGCTCATTGGCCTGTATCTCATAGAAGATGATGCCTCCTGTATTGTCTATGCCCTCTCTAGTTACTTGTTCTTGTCAGGCGTGATTTGCAGTTTTCTCCCAAAAGATGATTGAGTGCATTAGGTAACTGATGACATTTGGGGGTTTGGCCCTGTGTAGCACTGGACATCCAGAGTAGCAGATCTACTGGTACCACTCTGTTAAAGTGGAGGGAGTGGCTATTAAAGATCAATGCAAGTTATTCTTAGTAGAATAAATGCACCACACAATGCAAGGAACAAAGCCAAGTAATGGCAGAACTTGTGATATTAGTGAGGAGAATTTAGACAATGAATTGTCAGAGTCTTAATAATATTGCCCAAGAAAGAGAAGTAATTGTGCCTTAATACCTTGACTGAGCTTATCAGATCATTGAACCTATTCCATGCACTAGTTTGTAGTTACAAGGATGAGAGAGAGGTGACACTCAGTGCCACTGTCACCTATATCTCCTCATTTTTCTGTACAGCTTTCTGATCTTTTCTCTCATGGATACTCAGGTTTTCTTTTTTTCCGTGCATCTTATCCAGGAATATCTCAAGTTTGGCCTCCTGTTTCCTATCCACTTTGTATTGTTTGCTTCCTTCTTTGGATCTCTCTGCCTGCTGTTCCCTTAAACAGCCATAAAATCTCTTGTAAAAGATACGTAGACTTGTCAAAACTCTGCCACTTTCTTACAGCTTCAACAGCTTTTTGTTGGCAGTTTAATTGAATGTTGGTTTTTTAAAGGCTTCATTTGAAGTTTTCTTCTCCTGCCTTGGATGAACTGCTGTGTTATGCAGAAACAATACCTGGAGTTTTGAATTGCATGCTGGAAGGATTGGACCTGTGGACACAACTGACCACAGACTTTGGAGCCTTACTCTATTTTTATCAGCATCTTGCGTATACTTGATAATTATTATTCTGTACCTTCAACTATCTCAACTGTCCGACTCTGAAATGTCCTCTTAAATTTGTTTCTTCAAATTCTCCTGACCTCTGTGGTTATTCTTGACTTCTGAAAGCTAATTGTTTTTAAGTGCCTTGGCTTATCAAAATTAAAATATCACTTCATAGATTGTGATCGGTCAGTCACTCCTCACCAAGCTGAAGTCTCAACTCAAATTATGCACATAATTTCTCAAAATATATGATTGGAAATTTAGTTTTAAAATTAATATTTTTAAAAGATTCTTCTTGGACCTCTTCAGGTCTCCTAGGGGCAATGGATAGTCAAGGATTAGACTTCACGAGATCAGTGTTAAAATATTTGCTTTTTAATATTATGTCAGCTTTAGTAGGATATCAGAACATGTTAGCATGTTCAGGTATCTGGCCCCGTGGGAACCAAATTTCAAACTTTGGTTTAATCTGCAAGAAACTGCCTCCTATGCATAATTTTTTTGAAGTTTGTTTTTGATAATTCATAACTAAGTTAAAATTAGCATTTATAATCTATTAATTACTTTAATGAATTAATAATTATGTGGCAGTTGAGAAAAGAGTAGTTAGCTATTCCTCTGGGGCAATTTAGAGGAGAGATTTGCTCAGAAAATCACCAGAATGATGCGAAAGCCAAGGAATATGAAGCTGCTTTGCATTGGTAAAAGCTAGCATTTCTTGAATACGGTAGATTCCCGGGTGATCTATTGAAAAAATTCATTAGAGGGAAATCCAGACCAAGGGAGCAAACATGCTGGTATTTGGGGGTGCTGTCAGCAAATACCTTGTCTATCTCTTAAAAATAGGCAGCTGAGCTGGGGGTCTATTGAAAATTTCAAAGTTGAGATTGATTGATTTATGTTCATTGAGGCTGTTCATGCTTAGAGAACCAAGGTGGGTAAATTGACTTAGGATGTAGATCTACACTGATTTTCTTGTACTCCAGAACAAATTTGCTTGACTGTGAGGTCTGCTTCTTTTCAACTATATGCAAGCAAATTTGAAACCTTTTGCTGAGTTAAGTGTGCAACTTTGTCAAAAGTTCTTGATTATTCAGTGTATCTCATCATGAGGCCAACTTATTAAATTATGTCAGAGCCACGATTCAGTTCAGATATTTTCACACTTTCTCATAGTTGCATAACGGTTTGACACTTGTTTTTATGATCTACTTGTGTTTGGCCACTGGTCAAATTTCTTTAATGATGATGCCAGAGGAAATAAATACCCTGCCCCATTCTACCCACTCCCTCCCCCATAGACAGTGTTTCAGATATTGTTTGTGCACTTGTGTGGTAGTGGCATTAAAAATATGGTGTGAAAGCATCTGCTATCTTGCACTATTGCAAGAAACACTTGTTCATTTTAGCAACTTTAAGGTAATGAAGCTTCCCAAAGTGCTTCCAAAAATGTGGTTGCAAATACATTGGAATTAGGAACAAGAATGGTCCATTTGGCTTTTTGAGCCAGTTCTGCCATTCAGTATGATCATGGCCGGTTGTGGTCTCAGAACCACACTCCTGTCCATACTCTATAATGCATGATTCCCTTGTCTATCAAAAATCTAACAAACTCATCCTTGAATAAATTCAGTGATCCAGTGTCCTTTTCTTTTAGGGAAGAGATTTCCATATACTGCCCTCCGGGAAAAGATTCTCCTAACTGTGCCTTTAAAGGGAGAATAAGTTTTAAACTCAGTTCCAATCAACAAAGTACAGAACTGTGGAGAAGGGTCTTATGGCACAGTGGTAGTGTCCCTACTTCTGGACCAGGAGGCCTGGGTTCAAGCCTAGAGGCATATGATAACATGTCTAAATAGACTAATTATGAAATATCTAGAACTGTGGAGAGGAGGAAGATGCTGGAAAAATGTTTAGGGAAAGTGAAATAAATACATTTGCTGTTTTTAAGAAGTGAAATCAATCTATGTAACTCTCCAATTTTCACTTTCTGTAGGGACTACATTCGGTTCTGGGCTGAAAGAGGGGTTGAAGTGGTTGCCTGGACTGTAAATTACTCAGATGAAAAACGATACTATGAAAAAATCCTCCATTGTATTTACATTACTGACAGCCTTATCGAAAAATGTTCACCTGCTTCCTAACTTATCTCCTGAGATTTCTGTATAAACTCACATATGTAGTGCTACTGAACTAAGTGTATGATTGATGTCCTGTATTAAACAAGGTGTGCCAGTCTCTTGGATTTTTTTGTATTTTGATATTCGGGAAGGAGATTAGGTTTTGATTTGGTAAAACCAATCTATAATGTAAATAATTGTGCAATTAAAAGTGCAGTATAATGTTAGCATCAACTAAATGCAGCAAAATGCTAAAGTGATGCACGTGTTAAAGGCACAGATTTGCTGGGGAATGCAGTGTTCTTTCCCAGTTTCAGAAGATACTTTCTTGTTTATTTATGGATGAAAGCATGTTCAGATGCTGCAAATGTTAAGTATGTATAAAATAAAATGCACACAAGGTGAAGTGATTTCCTTCCTTCCCCCGCCCCCCCCCCAAAAAAAAACTCTGCTCGTCAGTGGCTTACATTTGACTTTCCATACTCCAGGATTCTTCTCCATATCAAGATAATGCTGCTGTACCTTTGACTGTGCTCTGTCACTCATATTCTAAGGTTACGTTTTCTAGCCCAGTGCCCATCCCTGCTCACTGGCTTCTGCTTTCTCAGCTTTATTTTGTGCTGGATCCTGTGCAAAAATCCAGCTTCTCCTTGATTGAATTCTGGTTCTTTTAGTGACTACAATGTCACACTACACTGGGTAATTTTGATTCCAGTATCTAATCTGCTTCTGAGGCTCCTTTACAAGAAACATTTCACTATGTTGAAGTAGACCATTGGCCCTCCATTTTTGACATTTCTGTAGCCATTGATCACCCAGTTACTTGCTGTACTCAATGTTTGATGCTCTTGTCACAAGTAAAACCTTCACTTTCCAACTATGGTTGATTCCCTTGTAAACCTTCCCCTATCCATTACCTCTTCAAATTCAAAGGGCAGACTTGATCTTGTACTTGCTGTCCAACTCTGTCATTTGTTGCCAGTTCTTGCTGGACTACACCAATTTTTGTCAGGTCCTTCTGTACCAAAACTGTTGTTTGCACCATAATTTTTCTGTTAAGTAAAGGTTATTAAGTTCTTTTGTGTATCACTAACTGCCTTCTTAAACCATGCCTGACTTTTCATTTCCTTCTATACTCATTGGTACAATCAAGTACAAGGCCATCATGGACTTTTTTGCCACTAAGATTCAAACTTTCTCTTCGTCTGCTTTGCTGCATTATTCCTTTCTCCAAAACCATGAAACTGAGGTTCCCCCTTGTTCTAGTCCTGAACCTACTCTTTTACTTGTTCCTGTTCTATTTCTGGTCAAACCAGCTCAGAGCTCTATATGAAATCCATGTCCTGTCCTCTCAACCATACTTATCTTTAGCTGATAGCCATTCCGTTTTCCCTCCCGGCTCCTGTGCTATTTGATAGTGTTTCTCTATCAGGCATTGACCTCTCTCTTTAACATTAAACCCTTGCTGTTACCCATGTCCCCTGAATCTGACAGACTGCCATTCAGTATGGACTATTTCTCAAGCTCTGCAGGGTTTGATCCAGCTGCCTACACCACCCCGCCAAGCCTTTCTTCTGTTGTGTAATTGAATGAAACTGCCTTTGCCTACCCCATTTTGGCCAGGTTATGTCCTATTGCCAGGATCAACACTTGACCTTCTAGTTTTCATCATTGAGCTGCCTCAAGTGACTGTTTCTGATTTGATGCTAGGATTGACCCTTATTGTTGACAGCCAGCCCCACCTTGCCACCACCTCTCAATCCATCCATTGCCTTTGTGTTTTCAGCTCAATTAACCAACATCCAGCTTCAATCACCAGAAAACGTTGGGAACACAAGGCAATTAATTTTAGACTTTCATTTGCAAGTTTCATATCTGTGTAAAGACCCTTTTTCAACCTTCTTTGATCCTCTCTCTTTATCTTTGTGCCAAATTTTGTCTGACTAGGGCTCTGAAGCACCTTCTGATGTTTTAGTATGTTAAAGATACTGTATAAATGCAATCCACTTTTATCAAGTAAATGCAGAACTGAGTAATAATGAAATTTTCCCAGTGTCATGAAGTATGCTCGAGGCTGACTGAATTGTGAAAGATTATTTCGTTTAACTGTTAAGAGGATAAAACTCATAATTTCCCATCAACTTCCAAAAAAATTACAAAACACAGAGCATAAATTGTGTACATGAATCAAGAAGGTTATATCTTAAAATGTCGTTACTTTTCCAAAGTTGCCCACTTCCCACAAACCCATCCACTCAGTAAAATAGTGGTGATAATTTCTGGCAATGTTATGGAGAGAATCCACTTGAGAGTGGACTTTGTATCCAGAGAGATTAGCACCATTTATCTCTCAACATTAGCAAAACCAAATCAGAGTAAGAGTCGGAATTGGAATCTGATGTGAAAAGATGCGTTCGATTTGAATCTAGCAGACCTGGTAGGCTGTGGGACTTCAAAATAACTCATTGTGACTGTCTAACATTGCTTGAATTATACGGACCATTGTAATTGTGCTGTTGTTGTTTTAAATGTTATTTCATCTGCAGTTGGTGAGGTCTGCATGGAAGTTTATGGGAATCCCTGCTTGAAGTTCTGTTATGTAAATTTCAGCCTCTACCTGAGCAAGTTAGTCACTGCGTATTTCACCAAGTGTAAACAACAGTGAAAATTGTTCATTTGTCAGGTCAGGAGGAGCAGCACTCTGAAGCCTCACACAGAAAGCTGCAACAATCCCCACCTACAGGCTGCCCTTTGGTGCTACTCAATGTCAGAACGTCACCTCCTGGAAACTGCTTTCACCTGTTTCAGTGGGCAGCTGTTGATGAGATGAGTTAAAATACGCTAATGTCCATCTTAAGCCACCAAAAGCATCTTGCATTACCTGCCCGAAACCTGCTTAGCTAGTAAAATCAGCCTCATTGATTTGCTCCTTTGGTCTTATTCCTCAGTTCTATGTTTCAAACTGTTAGAAGTGTGTTTAGCATTATTTTAAATAGCATTTTTATAAAGCTACATTCCACTGTTATTTTTCGGTATTGTGACCAAAAAGGGAAAAGTGAACGTTTGCTGAACTTGGTTAGACCTCTGTGAATAGTCAATTTCACAGTACAGAGTTGCTTGGGAATAGTTCTATTTTGCTGATTTTTCTTTCTCTAATTGAGTTTATAATCAGAAGGGTAAATACACCAAATAAATATTTGCTGATCTGTAAATTTTCTACCTCTGTGGAAAAAATAGCTGAAAGTTCAGGTTCCTTTTTTAAATATGGAAGAATCATAGCAATCATTTGATTGGAAATCTGAGCTTTTGGGACAGTTGCAGTTTTTTGATAGTAAATTTTATGTGCTAAATGAAGGTTGAATTATTTGCCATCGACAGTTTACATTGTACTGTACTATCTTGTAGCAATCTTGATGTTATTCATTGGGAGAATTTTATTTTAAAAATATGCAATTTTCCAGTGTTGTTAAGGTTTCCTCAGGGTTTAGTTTTAAATTGTAAAATTATTTCTTTTAAAAAAAAGCACAAATCATGCCTACTTTAATTGCTTAATGAATGCATGTTAGTTTTTGAGCAGTCTAACTCTTTGAATACTTCTGTACATTATCTAATTGTACAAGATAATACCTTATGAAGTGTATTATTGGGGGTATCTAATCTGTTATTTTATGGGCTGTGTAATAAAAATGTTCACTAATTGTTGCTGCTGTTTCAAGAAATGGAAGGTTTATGTTGACTTTATTGAATCTGATTTATTTTTTAGGGAAAATTTGTCCAGGTTGTTCAATAAACTCAGAAGGGAATATAGAGTGCATTAAAATGTCAGGAAGGAAAATACAGACTGATTTCTATGAACCTTAAAAAAAATCTAAGATACTTAATAGTGATTAAACTGTATTATTGTCGTGCTGACATACTAAAAGTTGGAAAATCACACCCCCCACTCCTTCTCCCCAGTAGGTATTGTTCTCTCCCATAGTCTACACCTATCTTGCTTGGAACCCTGTATTAGAGAGAGATTTCTGATCCTGCTATAGTACTGAAACAGCTTTTAAAAGTGCCCAAGGCAGCCTGTGTGGCTGTGCAAAAAGTAAATTAGCTCTTCTCATCTTTTACCTGTATGCAGCCTTTATTGTAAACCACAGCATCCACTTCTGGTGTCCCCACTGCAATTGAAATGGTGGTTGTGCTTTCATGTGATGCCATTCTTGTATCTGTAATAGTTTCCTTTCCCTTTCCTTCACTGTTAATTCTGGTTTTCACAAGGATCTATCTACATGGAGTTTCTTGGTATTGTTGTCTTTCCCTCAATTTGAAGAAATTGCTGACTTGCATGGGAGTTTATGCCATGTGCCTTCATGTGAACAAATGGGCTGACTTTGTGGATGATACAAAGATTGTTAGAGTTGTGGCTAGTGAGGAGGATTGTCAGAGGATGCAGCAGGACATGGGTCAAGTGGCAGAAAAATTGGCAAATGGATTTTGATTCAGACAAATGTGACGTGATGCATCTTGGAAGGTCAAGTACAGGTGGAAATTATACAGGTATTTCTATAACGTGATAGTTGGGTTTTTGTGAGATCTCCTGCTATGCACAATTGCTAAACCTGCACAGCAGAAAGTTCACTTTATCCAGACAGCATCCACTATTCATAAATCACGTTATAGCCAATTCGTGTTAATGAAGCATGCATTAAGGCAGAAATACCTGGTAGAACCCTTTATGAGTATTGATATGCAGAGGGATCTGGGTGTGAAGGTCCACAGATCACTGAAGGTGGCAGCGCAGGTAGATGAGGCAGTAAAAAAGGCTTATAGCATGCTTGCCTTCAGTGGAAGGGGCATTGAGTATAAGGATAGACAACTTATGCTAGCTTTATATTACTTTAGTTAGGTCACACTTGGAGTATCGTGTACAGTTCGGGTCACCACACTACCAGAAGCATGTGGATGTTTTGGAGAGGATACAGAAAAGGTTTCCCAGGATGTTGCCAGGTATGGGGGTTTTTAGCTATGAAGAAAGGTTGAATAGACTGGGTTTGTTTTCACTGGAACACAGGAGGTTGAGGGGCGACCTGATAGAAGTTTAAAGGATTGTGAATGGCATTGATAGAGTGGAAAGTATGATGCTTTCTCCCAGGGTGGAAGGGTCAGTTACTAGGGGACACAGGTTCACAGTGTGAGGTGGGGGATGTTGAAAAGAGATGTGTGAGGCACGTTTTTCACACAAAGGGTGGTCAGTGCATGGAATGTGTTGCCAGTGGAGATGGTGGAAGCAGACACAATACCAACACTCAAGAAGCACCTGGACGAATACATGAATAGGAAGGGAATAGAGGGATACAGATCCCGTAAGTGAAGACAGTTTTTAGTATGGAAGGGCAAAATGTGGCAGCACAGTCTTAGAGGGCTGAAGGGCCTATTCCTGTGCTGTATTGTTCTTTGATTTTCAATCAGCAGATCATGCACAGTCTGTCTACAGGGTGGTGGGATCTGCCTCATCATTATGGTCACAAACATGATGCAAATTGATGGTTACCGTACTGAACAATGGTAACGAGCACCTCCCAGTTATTAATATTAATGCTGTTGTACTTCAAGGAGTATTTCTGTGTGACCTTGTAACATTTTCTTTGTTGCCGTCTGGAACTCTGGCTATTTGAGAGTTAAGATGATGAGACCTGGACATAGTGTTCAGTTCATTGTAATTGGTTTTGTAGGAGCCTCATCTATGATTGATCTTTAAGATAAAACCACTGTTCAATAAGGTGTAAATAGTGTGGACTTCACGCAGCCTTGGTTGATGCTGGTCTGGATTTCCCACTCATGACAATTGCAGCCGTATCATCCTGAAGCAGTTGCAGGATTATAATTATATTTCTTGGACATCCAAATTCAAGAGAACACTCCATGGAACCTTGTGATTTACTGAATCAAATGTTTTGGTCAGGTCAATCAGTGCAATGTAGTATTCCTGGTTTAGTTGCCATTTCCCTTAGTTTTGACTGACAGCAAAGACCATGTCAGATGTTCCTCCTGAATACCTAAAGCCACAGATGATTCAGGAGAATGTAGAGTCAAGACCCTCCAGTCCAGACAGCTTCTGTATTTCATGCCTCAGCCAGTAAAGGCAAGTATCCCATTTACAACCTTAACTACGTAATCCATCTGCCCTGTTATTTTCAGGGATCTGTGGATATGCACACCAAGATCCCTCTGATCTTCAGTACTTTCCACGGTCCAGCCATTTACTGTATACTCCCTTGGCTTCCCTAGGTGCACTACTGCACACCTTTTCCGGGTTGAATTACATTTGTCACTGCTTCTTCCACCTAACCAATCCATTGATACCCACCTGCAGTTTATGCCTATCCTCACTTTATCACCCTAACAATTTTCATGTCACCAATGAACTACTTAACCTTACCAACTAAATTTAGGTCCAAATTATTAATGTAACTACAGCAGCTAACGGCCCTAGAACCATATGATGTGGAACCCCATGGAAAACAGATTTCCACTCACAGAAGTATCCCCGTACCATCACCCTCTGCTTCCTGCTTCTGAGCCAGTTTTGGATTTACCGTGCTAATTTGCCATGGGCTCTGACTTTCTTGACCAGTCTGCCAAAAGCTTCACCACAGTCCATGTAGACCACAATAAATGCATTACCATCATCAGTAGTCCCAGTTATCACCTCAAAGATTTCAATCAAATTTGGCAAAGACAACCTTTCTTTAACAAATTGATGCTGACCAGTATGTCTCTGCAAATGCAGATGTAGTGTATCCCTCAGAATTCTGTCTCATAACTCTGCCATTCACTGAGGGTGATCTGACAGGTCTGAAATTTCTTGCTCTATCTCTGTTTTAAAAATGAGACAACATCATTAGCAGTCCTCTGGTGACTCATCTGTGGTCAGAGAGGATTTTGAAAATTACTGCCAAAGCCCCTGATATCTCCTCCCCTGCCTCCCTTAATGTAGATCATATCCAGCTTTGCAGATATAAGATTGCTAAACCTGATAGTACTTCCTCTCTATGTTAATTTCTTCTAATATTTCTGAGTCCTCCACCCTGATGTCTAGACCTGCTATCCTTTTCCATTGTGAAGACCAGTGTAAAGTATTCATTGAGGAAGGTGCCCACGTTATCAAGGTCCATACGGTTACCTCTATGGTTGCTAATGGGCCCTATCCTTTCCCTAGTTATTCTCTTTTCTCTTATTCTCTTGCTTTTCTTATATTTAAATAAAAAACCTTTGGGTTATCCTTTATTTTACCTGCCAATACTTTCTCATGTATTTTCCTATTTAATTTCTCTTCTGCATTTCTTTTACTTTTCTAGGGACTCTCCTGTATTGAGCCCTCAGTATTTGCCACAAAAAAAAACATTTTTCTTCATCCTAACCTTGATGTCCTTTGACATGTGGGGTTCTTTGGTCATCTTCCCACCATTTGTCTTTACTGGAATACACTTACCCTGCAGTTATTTCCTCCTTGAATGTATCCCATTGCTCTGACAGTTTTGCCTGCCAGTAGCTGCTTTCAATCCCTTTAGGCCAAGTTGTATCTTTGTAAAGTTAGCTTTTTTCCAGTTTAAAACATGTAGTGCTAGTTCATCCTTAATATTCTCTTAAACCATCCTAAATGTAACTGAGTTATAGTCACCATCTCAAATGCTACCCTACTGTTATTTGAAATTCAACCTGGGCAGGTGAAAGGTATGTTAGGTTCAGGACTGCCCCCATCCTTACTTAGACTTTCTACATGCTGGCCAAAAACATTCTCCTGGACACAAGTTAAGAATTTTGCTCCCTCCCTATCTTGCACAACAGAGCTATCCCAGGTATATGGAAAGTCCCTACTATTACTATCTTATTATGCTTGCACTTCTCTGAAATATGTTTACACGTTTGATATCTATCTCTCCCTGACTGACTGACTGGGGGCCTGTACCCATATGGCCTCATTTGATGATCCTTTTGAGATAACATCCTTCCTCACTGCTATAACTGACTCATTGATCAATATTTCAAAACCTCTTCCCCTTTTATCCCTCTCTGTGTTTTGTCTGACTACCATATAACCAGGAATGTTGAGCTGCCAATCCTGCCTATTTTTTAGCCAAGTCTTTTTCATAGGCTTGTGATTGTATGATTTCATAGTTATCTGTGATTTCAAGTTATCTATCTTATTTTTTTGTGTTCTTTGCATTGAAGCATATTCCATTTAGCTATGCTAAACTCCTTTCTTTCTTATTTAGTCTGTATTTCCTCAGCTTTCCAGACTCACTTGCATTTTAACTAATTCCATCTCAGCTTCTCTCCATCTGAACTATTTGCCATGATTCCTGTCCCCTATCAATCGAGTTTAGATCCGTCCTAACAGCATTAGCAAACCTCCCTGCAAAAATGCTGGTGCTGTTTAGTTCGGATACAGATATTTTAAAAACAACCTGTTCAGAGATGTTATGAAGCAGGCGGGACTTGAACTCCCTGCTCAAAGGTAAGGACACTACTACCATCCCACAAGAGCCCTCCTATTCTGATGTAACATGTCTGGCTTGCACAGGTGCCACCTCCACCAGTGCCTCTGGAATCTAAAGCTATCTCTCTTCACAATGGACAACAGGAAAATAGTTCAATTTCTTCAGCATGCTTTAGCTCTGTTCTTGAAATTAGTAAGAATTGCTGCATTCCTG